ACACACACACACACACACACACACACACACACACACACACACACACACACACACACACACACACACACACACACACACACACACACACACACACGTATGCGCAGGTGCGGTACCGGCCTGACGAGGCGCAGCTGCTGACGTGCGGGTCTGATAGGAAGGTCCACTACTGGGAGGCCTTTGATGGCTCCCTCATCCGCGAACTCGAGGTGCTGCTCGTGTACATGTGTGTGCGTGTGTGCGTATGTGTGTGTGTGTGTGTGCGTATGTGTGTGTGTGTGTGTGTGGTTCTGCTCTCTGTTCATTTGTTCATCTTTGTCATCACACGCGCGCACACACACACACACATGCACACACATGCACACACATGCACTTACACTCCCCTTCTCTCCCCCGTTACCCTCCTCCGTACGCAGGTGTCGTCGACGGGTGCGCTGTATGCGCTCGACATTTCCCCAGACGGCCGGTACTTCGCTGCGGGCGGACAGGACAAGCTGCTCAAGCTCATCACCTTTGATGAGGGCGAGACGGCATACGTCGGACAGGGCCACAGGTACCGCTGTCACTTCCTTCCCCTCGCCCTTCCCCTCGCTTCGTCACCTGCACCCACATGCGCATCTGTTTGTTTGTCTGCGTGCCTGTCTGTGGGTGTGTTGTGTGATTGCTCATGTCTGCCACGCACTTCCATTGCTCGCTGTCCTCACCGCCACCCACCACCCTCTCCTCCCCATCACCCCCCTCCTGTTCATTGCAGCGGCGACATTACGCGCGTGGCCATCTGCCCAAACCAGCAGTACATCATCAGCGTCACTAACACCGGCTCCATTTTCCGCTGGGCCTACCCTGCAGCCTAACGCACACACCCACATACCCACACACCCACACACCCACACGCACGCCCGTAGTGGCGGCCACGAAACAGCGGCTGTTCGTTTATGCCTGCCCCTGCATGCACTCGTGCACAGTTGCTGTGTTGATTGTTGTTTGAGATAGCCCTGTGGTGTTTGGTTGTGTCTTGCTTCTCACTGCTCTGTGTGTGTGTGTGTGTTCTTCATTTTCATTTTTCATTTGCTTGTGCTGGATGGATGGATACTTGTGTTGTTGGTTTTTGCATTTACACGTACAAGAAAGAAAGAAGAAACACTGGCCTGCCCAAGAAACGAAGGAAATCAGACGCAAACACGATGTCACACACACACACACACACACAATGTCAAGATGCAAGTAAGGAAAGGGCACTGCACGGGAAGATGTGTCAAGTGAGAGGAATATACAATAGGGTGGCGCGGTCGCTTAGTTTTGTGAAGCATGCTGCTTCGTGTGGTTGGTGGCTGTGGCGTCTGGTTTGTGATACAGTGGCAGCTGTTGTTGCTGTTGTTGTGCAGCCGTGTGCTGTGGAGGAAGAGAGGGGGTGGAGGAAGACAAGGATCGAATATGTGAGGTGAAGCAAAAGCGTGTGTGCGCGCGCGTGCGTTTGTGTGTGTGTGTGTGTGTGCATATGTGTGTGGTTGTGTGTGTGTGTGTGCGTTTGTGTGTGCATGGTTCACAACAGTCCTGTACTGGTCTGCTCTCATGCCCAAATCACCTTGTCCATGTCGTCTGCAACCTGCTGCTTCGCCCGCTGCGCCTGCTTCTCCCTGTGTGATGTTGTATTCACAAGATGGGCCAAGATGGGAGGGGGGCGGTGGGAAGGATGAGGGCGTGGGAAGTTAGGAGGGGGGGGCAATTGTGGTGTTATTCGACGACGAGATAGCACAGCAGCAAAGCAGGAGGAGGGGGAGGTTGCACGCACATTCATGAACACACAGCCACACACACACACACACACACACACACACACACACACACACACACACACACACACACACAC